GCCTTATTCTTTGATACTCAGAAAGTGCTCCAGAGAAGCACATGCAAATGGTCAACCATCCCTACTTGTCAACTTGCATAGATGCCGTAGTTGTAAATTCTGCTGTGTTGTGGATCAGCAGCAACCAGTCAGATGACACAACTACCCCTGAGTAATAGACATAGAGAGTGGTTAGGGACTCAAGGTATCAGTGAGTGGGAGCTTGACAACAAGTGGGAATTAAAGGCAATTGCTTCCAGTCGAGTTGTGGATAATTGATGAGCAGAGGGGAAGGAAGAAAATGAGTGATTGAACAGCAAATGCTCAGAAATCATCTAATTTCACCTGCTTTGTATAAATGAAACATGAAGATTACTCTTAGATTAGGACTGGGAATATGGTTTAGGGGGAAAAAATTAGTTATTTGAGATTCAAGAAACCTGAATTCCAGACTTAAATTTGCCATTAATATTAGACAAGATAGGGGATCCCTAGGTGGCTCAGCAGTTTAGCACCCACCTTCAGCCCAGGGAGTGATCCTGGAGTCCTGGGATCAAGTCCCATGTCGGGCTCCCTGTGTGGAGCCTGCTTCTGTCTCTGCCTGTGTCTCTGCCTCTCTCTGTCTCTCTCTCTCTCTCTGTGTGTGTGTGTGTGTCTCTCATGAATAAATAAATAAAATCTTTAAAAAATATATTAGGCAGTCCTCATTATTACAATAGTTACAATCATTACTCAGTTAATATTAGCTACTACAGGATAAATAATATGATGTCTTTTGAAGTATGTTGAAGTTATACTTTTTAAAGTTATTAAGCAAATTTTATTTTTCATTTTTTAAGAATGGATATAATTATTCATTTTTGAAAATATATTAAGCTTTTACTGAGTATTGCCCAGATTTCTGGATCCTGGAGATGCAGCAGTAAACAATATAGAAAAGGATCCTGTCCTCGTGGATAGAGAATTGAGAATACTTAAATACAAAATCAAGATAATTCCAGAGTGTGATTAATTTCTTTTAAAGAAACAAGACAGTGATTTTTATGGAGACTATTGGGTAATATGACTTGGCGGAGGGAGATGTTGCTATGGATTGAATGGTCACTTCTAAAAGGGAAAAATTTGGGCAAAGGCATACCTTATGAGAATAAACTATTTCTGCTGAGAGGCACACAGATAGAAAGGTACGGAAGTCATGTAGAAGGAATGATCTTGCCCTGTGTAGAACAGCAAGAAGGCCTGTGTAGCCTAGTGTGGAATAAAGTCTGGGGGACAGGCAAGGGCCAGTTTGGTGAACAAGTTAAAAGTTTCCACTGAAATATATATCTACAACAACTAAGAGCTTTTAAATATTAATACCAATGTATTTGAGGGGAATTTTTGCTTAAAACTGGAACTGACTATAGATAATTCTGCCTTCTGTGGAATGGGAATGTGGGGAGTGGTATGCACTCTCGTGTGTGAGTGTGTGTGCATGTGTGTGTGTGATTTGGGCATGAATATTTCTTCAGAGAGTAGAGTAAAACTTTTCTCTATCTCACTTCCTTATCCAGAGACTGGCCAAGAACAGAGAATGGGTAGCACCTGAAGCAGAGCTTTAGAAGCACACTTAGTGAGTCCTCATATGTGACTGGGAAACATAGAGCTGAGTTTGGGGTTGGTTAGGGAAAGTGAAATTATCCTAAAAGGGAGAAGAAGGTGTTTAGTCCATGTGATATAGGGCGGCAGGCCAACATATTTTTAAGTAGAGAAATCACCAATATTGAAAATCTTGTATAATTGCTAAGTAAACTATTCTAGTCTTGCCAAACTTTCAGTAAAGTCAGGGACACAGACAGATACTTTTTGTTAGAAATGCTTTTTTTGGAGGGAATCAAGGAACAGGACTGAGTTCCATGTTTGAAATGATGTAGAGCAAAGGATGGAAGAGATGTAGGAGTGAGATTTGGAATCCCTGAACTCTGGCACTTGAGGCCGGAAGAGACCATGAAAATACGAGTCCCCCAGAAATCTTAGAACATCAGCTGAGTGTATTGAGCTAACTGTAATTATACAAGTGCTCATTTATGCATTCATTTTCAGTTATCTCACCACTATGCAGTCTCTTAAAGGAAAAGAAAGTAATTGGAAGACGCAGGGAAAGAGAGAGTGACTTCCTTCTTAGGAACTGTAAGCATCCATGATACCAAAACATCAGCTTGGTGAGAAAAACAAGTCAAGTTAGTTGTTTAATACAGAGTACTCAAAATAATTGCCTAGTTGAATAAGTTTTCACTTCCCAGCAGCTTGATTTGTCATAAAATAGAGCTCAAACATAAATATTTAAAAGTAGAAATATATTTATTTTATTCCAAGTTCTGAGACATTCATAAACATGTTTCAGTTTTATCAGCAAGAATCCATGTGAATGACTTGTCCCCTTTGCTCTGGGATTCTGGAGTTTTAAATGGGTCAGGGTTTTGAAGTGTTGAAAGATATTATAAAGCACTTACAAGTATTCAGCTAGTCAGACTGCTCAATTAGCTGAACATTTATAACCTCAAAATTTTGACAGAGCATGATTCATGTAGGAATGACCCCTTGGACAACAGATGGCTTTATTGTAGGTATGCTTGAGAGAAGGAAACACAAAGCAGTGTGATCTGAGGGAAATAAAAATGGAACATAGACAGAAATATTGAACTTAGAAGCATGAATTATATTCTTAAATAAGGGAAATTTTGAACAATTTAGCTGATATATTTTTAATGATAGTGTGCTTTCAAAATATTTTATTTGAAACGGTTTAAGACATATTTATGGGACAAGCCTCAAAAACAAAGTAGACCAAAATTAATATCTAGTTAATATCTAGGCAACCCATCCCAAATAATATTATAAATCTAAAGTATTTAGAAAAAAAATAAAAGTTTGGAGGAGTAAGAACTACAATGTCAACCAAAAACCTAAATCCACAGTATTTTAATTTCTTGTTTTTTTTTTTTTCTTTTTTTCCCTGTAGTTGTGGGGTGCTTATAATCTGGAAGGTATTCTGGAGAAGCATTGATTCAAAGGCATGTTTTAGGATAACATATTACCACTAAAATATATCAAGTTTTGATTTAGAGGGTTTTATCAGTTTTTAAAGGAGAATCAGGAAAGCCTGGTTGGCGCAGCAGTTGAATGTCTGCCTTTGGTCAGTGTGTGATTCTGGGATCTGGGATCAAGCCCCACATTGGGCTCCCTGCAAGGGGCCTGCTTCTCCCTCTGCCTGTGTCTCTGCCTCTTTCTCTCTCTGTGTCTCTCGTGAATAAATAAATAAATCTTAAAAAAAAAAAAAAAAACAAGAGTCAAAAGTGATGTAAGTAAAAACATGTACTTTCAGGTATGTGCAGTATCTCTTAAAACTGAAGTTAATACTATATATAAATTCACTTTGGAGAAAGAAACATCAGATTCCCCAAAAATACTTTTACATTAATCCATAGAACAAATGCAAATTTCCCTCTCATTTGGAGCCTATTATGATACACAGTATACTGGTACAATGCTCTTTCCTAACTTTCTAGGAGTACAAAACTACTCACATTACCATAAAAAAAATAATGGAACAAGAAACAATAAATAATTTCTCTCAAAGGACAAAAAAAAAAAGTTTATCCAATGAGAAAAAAACAAACAAACAAACAAAAAAACCAGAAAACAGAAAAAGCATCAGGGACCAGGGAGGAGAGCAGGACGCAGGACACTCATGCCCCTGCCAGTGTTCATTGCAGATGAGTCCTGACCCCTTGCAAGAGTGTGCCCATCTGTGGTTCAAGAGAGCCAGGAGAAGTTTATGTGGGTGATCAGATTTTCCATTTTGTAGATGGACCACCAGAGTTACTATGGGGTGGTACAAAGACTCCTATCTGACTCTACCCAGTTAGCAATAGGATAAAACAGAATACAGCCCTTAAGTCCAGCATTCCTTACCTCCTCACAACTGCTGCTTAGTCATTAAAATCATAATAAAGTAGTATTGCTGCTTACCAAGTTTTCTAAAATAAGTATAAAAAAATAACAATGAAAAATCAGCAAGGACAAAAAAATGGATTCGCTTATATATTTTTCCTTTTATTTAGTCATTTCTCCCCTTAACACTATTAAGCAAGAAGCATTTATGGACTAGAATGCTCATTCTTGACTAATGGTTTATACAAACTGTAAATGTACACTTTAATATCCCTATGCTTCTTTGGTCCTCATTACAACTCTGTAGATCAGTTGTAATATTTTTCCTATCCTCATTTTATGGATGAATCTGAATTTTAAAGAAAATAATTTATCAAAAATCAAACAGCTGATACAAACTACAATCAATATTAAATACAAAACTTCTGCATATAAATTACATTCCACCTCCTTTAATCATGCATCTATAACTGCAATGACTCCAAATAAATATTCTTCTAAAACATAATTTATTACAAGATCTGTTAACCACCCAATAGAGACACATACTAAAAGTGTAATTCTTGAGTAATTTTCAGGGCTTGTAAAAACCTTGTTTATACATGCAAAATATTTTTTCAGTGTTCCTAATTCAAATGACACAACAAATCAGAAAAAGATCTTACTTCAGCATCTTAGACATTCACTATTAATACCTCAAAACTTTTCTTTACATATTTTTTCTTTTTTTCTAGTTTGAAGAATTAGAAAACCTGTTAGAAAATTTAGCTGTTACAAGTTAGACTGAATCAGAAGAAGAAGAAATCAGGAGCAAGAGAGAGGGATCTAACAATATGCCAGGATTGGGGGGCTTTTTATTCATAGTATTAATTGAGGCAAAAAATGAAACACTGTGTTCTGTGGGCACACATAGCATTTCTATGTATAAGAATGATTTAAAATTGGCTTTGGCTATAAATAATGTCCATGAATGAACTTTTAGAATTAGAAACAAAATCAAATACAACACACATTATTACTGATAGAAAATACAATTTAAACACAGAACAGTTAATTAGCAAGCATGGAATATTCCACAAATTACTTACAAGGACAAGCTAAGCCTTATCAAGGCTTCTGTGGTCTGCTTCTATGTGAGATATTCGTTGTCACTGTATAGATTTTTTTTCCCTTCTGCTAAACGTTCCATAACTTTCTTGGCAAGACTGAATGTAAGTTATTCTTATAAAATACCAGACTGTCATAATTATGATTTTTAGTATTATCCAAATTAATTACAACTTCCAGCAGTGACACGGACTAAAATAGCAAGAGCTGCTGGTGATCTAAAACTACTCTCAGCATGTCCCAGCGAGTACTTGGCCAGGAGCACATGTCACTTAAAAAAAGCATGTAACCCTTTAGACCCAACAGTCAGTTAAGGCCTTGGTAGAAATGTCAGCCATAAGAATGAAAAGACCTTTCAATTATTTACATACAATTTTCCTCTAATTAGTGAGAACTGATTTTCATTTCTTCCCTTTCTTTCCTCAAACAGGACCATATGAGATCAAATTCAGAAGAGCAGCTGCTTCATTAAAGACACAGAGAGAGAAAATGAGAGCAAGAGCGAGAGCCAGGAGAGAGAGAGGCAGTTTTTCTTGTCAATCAGACCTCCTGATTCTTATAGAGACGGGGTCAGCAAATGCCTATCAGCTTAGCAGTCTTTAAAGATTTGTAGGGTACTTTGCTAGGGTCTGTGCTGATGATATAAAACAATAAGACATTTTCAAAAATGTCTGACAAAGTACAATTATAATCAACAAAGTGTAGTGTCACAAGCTACTGATGTCTATGTGGTACAAAAGAGATCCACCAGTGTACTTTTATTTGATAGTTGTATGACTTGCCAAATACCTGTACATATATGTAAAAAAAATAACAATTTAAATATAGTATAGTCAAAATTGTATCTTAAAATTACTTTTGTAAAGCAATTTTGAAAAGACTTTTGAAATATTTGAGTAGAACTGACTCTGGAATAATTATAACTACTATTCAGTTTCTTTTTTTAAAAAAAATTATTTATTCATTCATGAGAGACACAGGGAGAGAGAGAGGCAGAGACACAGGCAGAGGGAGAAGCAGGCTCCATGCAGGGAGCCCCATGTGGGACTTGATCCCGGGTCCCCAGGAGCAGGCCCTGGTCTGAAGGTGGTGCTAAACCACTGAGCCACCCGGGCTGCCCTAATATTCAATTTCTAATATCAATCTGGAGTTGACATACTTTGGGGGCACAGTTTGGGAAAACCTTTGCAAAAGTACATACATTTCATTTCTTATTCTATGGAATGGACAATAACAAAATAAAATTTTATTTTGCTAGTGTTTTAATTTTATTTCTAGATTTGAGAATATCTACCTCTAGAGGAAAGAATGTTCTGGGTCTTTCTAATTATATTACTTCCTTAATATAACTTCTTAAAGTGTTTTTAGGTCTCAACTTATAAGGGAGAGACTTAGACGTATTTACACATTTAAAAGTAGAATTTAAAGACACATTACCTTTCAAAGCTTGATTTATTTGTATTTATTTGTTTCCAAATGTTAACTTGGAGTTGCCACATGGGAATTTCCAAATGAGGTAGCAGGCATATGATATTTCTCTAGCAGTTTTTACAGTATGCTGACAGTAAGAAAAAGTGACATAAAATAAAACATTAAGCATTCACAGTTTTGTTTCCTTTTACCCTGACATTGTTATTTAAGACAAACTACCTAAACTTTCTTAAAATCCTAACGTATGCACAAGAGCCCAGCAATACCCTCAGTCTTCCACATGTGGCTTTAATTCAAATAAGAAGCAATTTCACCAGCTGACTGCAGGTTAACTATCCCCAGAAAATCCCCCTGAATTCCCTGTACCATTGTATGAAGATAGGCCCAAGCCAAAAAACAACATTCAAAACTGTACCAAAAATACTCGGGTAAGGTCAGAACTTACATGGAACAGCTTCTGCCAACTAATAGGATTCCTTTCTGTGCTAATAAGGATGGAACAAAAAATTCAGTTGATTCAGTTGTCTGGGCAGGAAAGTGGGCTTGAAAGAACCTAGGAGTTTGTGCAGATTTTACAGAGAATTATAATGGCTTTCTCGTCCTACTTTCTTCCATCTGTAGATTGAACCATTATGGAAAAATTCAAAAGCAGGAAAGCATTGTACAGCTCATCCTGGAAGTGGGGCAGAGGGGTCTGGCCTTGGGAAACTTCTAAGGGATTCCCAGTATTTTTCAGTATAACAAACTCCAATGCCACCCCCATGCTTCTGTAACTTCATGAAGGGTCCTAGCTACCAGCTGACTTTGTGAAGATCAAGCCCATTGGCCCACACATTCTCTTCTCTCAAGTTCTTGAAAGAGTTACCTGCCTTCTGTCCCCTTTCTGCCCTCAGTGGCTTCTAGTTGGCAGAAAGTTTCACCTTGTCCTGAAGCTTTGACTAATTAATTCTTGACTCTTCTATCCCTTACATGTCAGTAAAATCAAAGAATCATAGTGTCATTCAAAACTAGAGTCTTGAGCAGCTGTCATTTTACAATGGCTTCCTTTTAACTAGTCCCCATGACTTAGTCCAGATTCCCCGAATTTAAGACTATGCAGTATGCCAGAAAGACTTCTACAATGAAACATTTTCTATTTTTTAAGATTTTCTTTCCTAGTTTAAGTCTTCTGTGGTTCCTCACTACCTGTATTTATAACAGTGATTTCTAACACAGAATATGCTCCAAAAACATCATAACATACCCTTCACCTTCAACATTCTAGACTTGATATTTCTAAAATATCCCCTGAAGAATGTCTGTTAGAGTGGGGATCTTTCTCTCAAACCACTCTAATCCATTTTTTTTTTTTGCAGGTAGAGATGGACTAAGATTGCCAACCAGTATGAGAAGAGCCTGCTTCTGAGGTGAAGAATAGAAATTAAAAAATAAAAATAATAAAAGGAGAGAACCATGGAAACGAAGAAGAAAAGGGAAGGCAGGATTTCATTGCTAATTCTGAGGAGACGGCCTAGTAGGTGCCAGTAGCAGTGAAGCTACCCAGGGGGTCAGGAGGACGGGGGGTCGGGAGGTCGGAGGGTCAGGGTGGGAGGGATAAATAGCATGGCCACAGCATAGGACTGGTTTCCTGGGCATGCCATCCGTAAGGTTCCACACCCAAAAGGATCTCACAGTTGGTCCACGTTCTATTTTCACCATTTTGAAATTCTTAATTTTATTTTTGAACTTGTGTTTTACGACTGAAATCTAATGAGAAAACTGAGCATTCAGGAGTAGAGATATGCTCATTATGTGTGTCCACTGTTCCTTGCTTTCCATTAGTGCAGAATTCTGGGAGACTCACAGTGTGGGAGCTCTTTGACACTCTGAGTATAAGCTAAATGTGTTATGTCTACAACTGAGTGAGCAGGGTGCTGACAGCTCCAAGAGGCTGCGCTTTCCCTGAGAACCAGAACATACTTCAAGCACGGAAAAACACATTAATGCTCTAAGAAACATCACAACCAAAGAACTCTCTCACATCCTTTCTTTCTTAGGTTATCTCCCTGAATTAGCCAACCATTTAAGCTAAAAATGATGACATAGACAGGAAGAGAGAAAGAGAGCAACCGCTAAGTCCTCCTCCTTTCAGTGTCTCCTTATCCATCAATAAGGGAAAGGTAAAGACTTAAAGACTGTTGGTAACAACGTGTGCATATTGACAAATGATACAGTTGTGTTTTGGGTGCACTTCTGCTGTTCTAGTAAGAATGAAATACATATGCACTTACAGTCTATGAAATATGAATTGTGCAACTTTAGTGATTTCACAGAGTCAAGGATCTTAGGTTTGCACTTAGACCTGACACTGTCACATATAAAGATGAATGGCAAAATGCATGTTAATTTAAAACTTTAATGTTTCTTTACTTAGAACATTAAAAGTAAATTTTAAAAACACCATGATAGAGAGAGAGAGAGAGAGAGAGAGAGAGAGAGAGAGAGAGAGACTGTAGAAGAAGGAAAAAGCTTTATATTTTAGGAACTTTAGCAATGCTTTTTCCTACTTTCAAATGAGGAGCCCCCAAATTTCATTTTGTGCTGGGCCCTACAAATGATGTACTCAGCCCTGTCACTTCACTACCTTTGATTCTGTTTTGAATTCCATAGCCGAATTGAGTTTATTTTTCAAATGACAAGTAAAAGACTACTTGATAGATTCTTCTCTATCTTGTGGCTTGACAAATTCATTCTAGGGCCAATTGAAGTATGGACTTATGTTCCCTTTTGCCATGGTTGGTACATAGTCAGACCTTGGCTGGCTGTGGGGGGAGCAGAGTCATTCAACCCTGGAGAAAAATTCTAATATATCACGTTTTCAACAATTTTTAAAGGTAATACATTCACATGACGGTTGTTAGAACCATGGGGGAAGCCATCTAAGGACCCTCTGTGAAATATTTAATTAAAATATCAATTTTGAGAATATGAGATCTATGGATGCTGGGCTTGGCTTGTTTCTTTATAGGCACTTTCTTGAGTGTGAAGATGCCAGCACCCAACACAGTGACCATGTGGAGTAAACATACCAAGGAGCCTGTGAACAATAAATCCTGGGTTTCCCTTATTCCCACCATTTATGGCAAATATAGCTATGAAAATAATGCCTTCCTCACTTAAATTCCATATAATTTTTTATTCACTGATAACAAAAATGAAGGAAATATAGGTAAAACAATGGTTATGCAGATAAATAATAAAGAGAAAAATTATCTTCCTTTAAATTTGGGACCTCTTGCCTTGCCTTGCTAAGAACCAGGAGTGATTGTGGAGAATTGCTCTGTGCAATTGAAGAAATGGGGTTTGGGGTGGGGAGACTGAGCAGCTGCAGTAGTCAAAGAGAGAGACCTCCCAGGCAGCTCAGGAGGTAGTAACATTGCAGAAATGTCTAAAGGGGATAGTTCAGTGATAAATTCTCTCCTGCTTCATCTTAAAATGAAGTCTACAATCTCTTGCTAATTTTTTGTTGGAAGTGAACTTGTGTATGTGAGGAAAGCTGAGGCTAAGGTAAGGGTTAAAATGGGGGTTGGGTTTGAAGGAAGCTCCAAGAAGAGGACTAGGGAAGAGCTGACACTGGTTTGAGTTATATAGATTTTAAAAGATTGTCTTTAGCATTTAAGGGGAGGGGAAAATTAGTTCATTTCCCATTTAATAT